TGGTCAACCATGTTGATTGCTCTGAGGGTCAGGAAAGAGGAGGATGGAAAAGTGACTTATACTCAGTGTTCTTGTCCCCCCAGGTAGCCTGAATATACCGGGGGGTGGGGGGCCGGGCAGGCACGCACATTTCATTGAATTTTTTTTTTTTTTTAAAGATTTTATTTATTTGACAGAGAGACACAGCAAGAGAGGGAACACAAACGGGGAGTGGGAGAGGGAGAAGCAGGCTTCCTGCAGAGCAGGGATCCTGATGTGGGGCTCGATCCCAGAACCCTGGGATCATGACCTGAGCCAAAGGCAGACACTTAACGACTGAGCCACCCAGGCACCCCATTCATTGAACTTTCGAGGTCCTGGACACTTCTGGGAGCTGGCCCGCTGGGTCCTCAGCCTCTCCTGTAGCTGGGGGCCAGGCACACACAAGACATCTAGAAAAAACTTGGGCAGCTTTCAGTGGAGGCAGAGGTCTGAGTGCACAGGATTTCTGCCCTGGGGGCTGACCCATGAACTACCTGGGGAGTTATTTAGGCCTGGGCAGCAAAGTTGGGGCAAGCCCTTGTCCACACTGCAGCTTTTCCCTCTTCTGGGAAAGGCCTGCTGTAGGCCCAGCATCCTTCCCCCTCTTCTGTGAAACTGAATGCCCCCCCACTCCCCCCAACAAACTGCTCCATTGATGCCTTGGCTTCCATGATCTCCTCTGCCTGACACGGGCTGTCAGCCCTCCAGACCTGCCTTCTGCAGAGTGATCTGAGAAATCCCAAGGAGTACTGCTCACTTTCTCTGTGCTCCCAGCACCACAGACATCTGCCTGTTGTTCCATCTTTGCACAACCTCACAGTTATCTACTTCCCCATCTGTTTCCTCCACCAGCCAGGGGCTTTTCTGAAGGGCAGGAACTCCAGTGCCTTATTGATTTCTGTTTACCCAGGACCCAGCCCAGGGCCTGACACTGAGGAGATAGGTGCCTAATACATGTTTGATTTGATGATGGAATGAATGAACAAGCGTAATAGGCAACTGCTCAGCTCTCTCCCAGCTTTTGAGTTCTCTGGGTGGGGCCTCCTTTCCCTTCCTTCCTTTGGGGCCTGGGCATGCTGTTCCCACCTCTGATATGGGTGGGATTAGTCTAGCGTCCTAGGCAAGAGGGCTGCCTGCCTGGATGGTATGAAAGCTCTGGGGCCATGCAGAGGGTCCCAGTTCTGCCATGAACCACTATGTGACCATGACAAGACCCTTCGGAGCCTCCATTTTCTCATTGCTCCAAAGAGGAGATTCATCTAGAATCTGGATTCTAGATGATTCATGTGCTGGCAAGGATCCTTTACAGCTGTAACCTGAAGCAGTTAGTACATATGGGTTCAAGGTCTCATGTAGGAGGACCCTGCAGACCTCCATCCAGCTGTCTGAAGGGCCTTTTCCTGTTTATCAAGGTGGGAGAGGGCCAGATGCCCGGTCAGGCCTGGCTGCTCTTCTCAGTCAGGTGTTTAGGGAGCAGTGACTGATGAAACCCCAGCCAGAAGCAGATGCTGAGCTCTGCCCTGGTACACCCTGGACTCCCGGGATTCAGCCAGGGTTTCCTTGTGTACACCTTGGGAAGGGGCTTTGGCCTCTCTCCTCTGCTGCTGCACAGGCATGGGAAGGAGATAAGCCCCATTCTCACCTTTTCTTTGTTGCATGACCCTCTGACCCCAAGTCTCCCAGCCTCCAGCCTTGCCTATAAATTCGAGGTAGATAGCTACCCACACCTCTGCTTTTGACTTCCTCTCTGGTGGGATCTGGGAGCTGCTTCTGATGGTTTCTGTTGGAAGATAGGAAGGGGAAGGTTAGAGTCTGAGAAAAGAGAGGGGAATGGGGGGGTTTCAAGCTTTCTAGATTAAAAAACAAAACCCTTCAAGTTTACCATGAGTTGAAATTATTTTAAGTTGCAAAATGTATATGCTTGTATTTCTGTATGGGTAACATTTACTGAAGTTTACATCAGTTAGCTTACGTACTTTGTAAAAGGAAAAATGCTCTAAAAAATATTTCAGTGAAAGCGTGTTTCATGTCCAGAAATTTATGATATGTGCCACTTCCTTCTGGTTTTTTGTTGTGCTGGTGGTGGTGGTCTTAGCTCTATGTTTATCATTTGTGGGGAGGTTAATTTTCAGTATGTCCTCCTATCTCTCTGGTGAGATCGCTTTGGTATCTCTTCTTGACATCTCATAGTCACTCAGTGAAGAAGGGGCCAGGAGTGGTGATCCTCTTTTGCAGAAGAGGGACATGAGGCTCAGAGGTGGGGTGTGCCTCCCACCTGCCTTGCCAGTGCTTGGTGTTCGTGGCTCTTCTAGGTACCTCCTCCTTGCTTGATGGGTGTAATTGGCCGGAGGTTTGGAGGACCTCTGTCTGGGGAGGGTTTGTTTGGAAGTGGCCTCACTGGCGGCAGGGGATGCTAGGACACTGGTTCCTGACCAAGAAGCTTGAATCTAATTTAGAATTTGGATTTGATGCTGGGCTCCCTTCTACCCCTTCCAGAGCCTGCCGTGCTCACAGTGAAGCGAAGCCATATTCACTAAGATATCCTGGAAAAGGCTTGGTGCCCCGCCCTTGCTACCCCCTTTCTCTTCCCTGGGGATGCCGCCTGGTCTCCGGGGATGCTGCTTCTCTGCCGTGGCTGTCCTGATGCACTAGGCAGGGGTATGACTGGTAGGGCACTTGATGCTTGGCCTGATGTCTGGGAGGGTTGGGGAGCAGGATTCTAAGACCAGAAGCAGCCCTATCAGAAGGACCTAGCATAGACAAGTCCTCTAGGGTCATTGTCTTCAGTCCCTTCCAAGACTCCAAACTGGCTTCCTGCCATTGAACTTGTCCCTTTCATGGCACCCTTTCCTCACCCAGTGGAGTAGGTGCTGTCCCAGGCTTGGGGACCTACTCTGCTGCAAAGGCAAGTTCTGATCTGGCCCTGAGAACGACGACAGCACTCTTTCTTTGTTGCTGTCTAGCTGCCCACCTCCCAAAGTGCTTGGGATCAGTTGTGTGGCTCAGATGAGGACACTGAGGCTCTTAAAGGGAAAGCGACCACCACTACTGGTACGTCCCGAAGTCATTTGCTCTCCAGGCCTGACTGACCCGAGCACTCTGCTTTGAGTAACTGCTGATCTCTAGTCTCCATGGTCTCCGGCAAGGAGCCTGTCCCTGGGCCAAGAGAGGAGACAAGGGAGAGTTTCCTTGCCTGGCCAGGCAAGCTTTGGTTTTGCACATTCAGTCTTGTGGCATTCTGCCTCAATGCTTAGAGCCGGCCCCTGCCACCAGGCAATGGGCATGTTTTCTTCTGCATAAAAATCAAAACAGAAACCAGTCCAAGGTTGGGGGTGGTCAAGGCAGGCCAGGCTTGACTCTCCCATGTGAATATCTTTATGTAGTCATCTGTTGGCCTGTGAACAGTTAATGGCCGTCCCACCCCTAACAAAAACCTTCACTTTATCCATGACCTGCCAGAGAGGCCCAGCTATATGCTTGGAAACAGGATTTGAAAATTGATCTTTGTGATTTCAGTCTGTTAGTCTCCCATTCTGCCCCTGTCCAGGATCCCAGGTGTGGCCAAGCAGGAGCTTGGGAAGCTTGGGCATCTGGCCTGGAGCCGCTCTGTGCCTTTGTGGTTCCTGGTTGGGCAGGAGCCCAGTCAGCCTCCAGCCTGATCTCCATGGGAAATGCGCCCAGCGGCACAGGGCAGGCCAGAGGTTCTCCTGGGGCCTGCCGGTGGCTTGGGGCGCGCAGTGCGTGCTGTAGGGCATGCGTGGGGCTGCACCTGTCCGGCCTCAGGCTTTGAACTGACCCTCTAGCTGCCTGCCAAGCAGCGGCCACGGCACGGGCTACTTCTAATGACGGGCAGGCAGCTGAGAGGAAGGGCCCAGGCTGTGGAGCACGCAGACCCTGGCCTAGATGCATTTGTGTTGGTGAGGTTGTGTGCCTGTGTGAGAGGTGTGGGAGGGGGTGACAGCAGCTCTGCACCGGAAGAGCATACTGGTTTCTGTTTCAAAGGGCAAGGTTTGTGGTTATTCTGCAGTTTCTGATCTGGGCATTTCCCCTGTTCAACTCCTCCTCCTATCCTTGGAAACTGTCTTCTCAGGCTAGGTTTCTGTGACTCAGTTCCCCCCACCCTCCCTGTTTCTACCTGAGTGTAACTTATTCTTAAAACTCCACTCCCATTTTGTGGCCCCTCCCCCACCTGTGTGCCTGCTCTCTTCGTTTGCTCATCCAGTCCTTCAGCCAGTACTGCATATGGGCCCTGTCTGGGGGGAGAGGACTAATGTTCACACATGTAGTGTCATGAGGAGTCAAGGACATGATTGCTGCAAGAGGGCGCTTCTGAATTGGGTCTTTGGTGGGAGAGAATGGAGCCTGGGAGATAGTCCACCCTAGGGACCGGGGTGAAATGGGGGGACAGGAAGCACTGGCTGTTCTTGCCCTTGGCCCAGCTTAGTTTAGACGGACCAGAGAAGATGGGAGGGAAGAAGCTGGGAATGGAGATCACTGAGCCTCACCAGGAAGGGCCTTGAACGCCCTAGAAGGAGCATGTTCTCCTTAGTGAGCAACCACAGGAGGGATCAGAACAGTGTTATAAGGATTCTGAAAACTTAAGAAGGGTAGCTCATTGGTAAAGAGGATGGGTGGGGGCAGGGCTGCTGGCAGGGAAGGCAGGGCTTTTTTGGTGGGAGGACCAATCCTGAGGGTGTGATGAAGGCAAGGGAGCAGGGAGAGTCCTCTCTGGTCGCTCAGCCTGGCTTCTTCTGTTTGAACAGCTCCTCCCTAAATCTGTCTCTTTATCTGACTTGGAGAGTCTGCCCCTGTCCAGGATCCCAGCCAGCACTGGGGGACCGTGTGGGTGTGTGGCTGGGGTAGCCCTTCCCTGTGCCGCGCGGTGCTGGGGCCCTCTCCTGGCCTGGGGTCAGAATCTGTGCGGCTAGCGTACTTTGGTGAGGGAGCAGAGGGAGGGAACCTGCTTTGAATGAGCTCCCATGTGCCATATACAGGGCTGGGCACTTCTGGCTTTTAGACCTTTCAGTCTTTCCAGCAGCCTCACCGTTATTGGTTAGCTGCGTTAACAGTTGAAGGAGTGAGATCAGAGCAGTTGTCACTATGCTGAGGTCACACAGCTGATGGGAGGTAGAGCTGGGATTCTAGTCCAGGCAGTCTGGTCCCAGAGCCCAGGCATGTTTTTTCTACCACCCTGCCTTCTAGAGAAATTCAGTCAAGCCCTTGACTTTATATTTGGTAAAACTGAGACTAGGAGAAGTTAAATGAGTCACTCAGTGTCATCTCCCTTGTTAGTGGCCGGGGCAGGTCGTCTGCCATTCAGTGCTGTGTGCTTCCCCAGTCTGTGCTCTGTGAGCCCAGGGGAGCCACATGCAGGCCCTTTGACAGCCAGAGTGGGGAGACATCCCTTTGGAGAGCCGCTGCCTTGGGAGACCAGGCCTCTTGCTGAGACTTGCTTGGGGATGTCTTTGGGGTGGTGGGCCATTCAGGGGTGCGTCAGTTCTCTGGGCCTGACCCCTCATTCCTCCAGTGGATTCTGAGACATACTTGGGTCTGCCTCACCCTACCCTGGGACTTTACAATTTGGTTTGTGTACTTTGTGTCAGGAAATGGTCCTCACGGAACAGCCTTCAGCCCTCCCCAGTTCTCTCTCTAGAGTCCATCTAGCTTTTTTCCAGGTCATAGTGACCTGCCCACATTCTCAGCAAGGGAATGTACACAGGATGGGGCTCCCTGCTCCCCCAGACAGCTCAGCTTCTAGCAGAGGTCTGTCCTCAGACTCAGCGTAGCTCTCTTTTATCACCTAGTAGGACTCAGTACTCTTGGCTCTGCCCCTTGATGAGGTGTCTCTCTTTGTGGTACCTCCCAAAGGGCAAACGAGGAAACCAGGCTGCCCTCATTTCGGCACTGACTCAGAGACCCCAGCCTGACCTTGGCCTCTTTACCTTCCTAGTTGACATTCGCGAAATCAAGGAGATCCGCCCTGGGAAAACCTCACGGGATTTTGATCGCTACCAAGAAGACCCTGCTTTCCGACCAGACCAGTCACACTGCTTTGTCATCCTGTATGGGATGGAATTCCGCCTAAAGACCCTGAGCCTGCAAGGTAGGAGTCACAGGGCTGGAGGAGGTAGGGGGTAGTTTGGGGGCAAATATCCACTGGCTCCTGGCTCAGCAGGAGGTGTGTGTCCTCAGCTCAGCTCTTTACCCCTTGATCACAGCTACATCTGAGGATGAAGTGAACATGTGGATCAAGGGTTTAACATGGCTGATGGAGGACACATTGCAGGCAGCCACACCTCTGCAGATTGAGAGGTAAGAACCACCCCCGACATGGTTAGAGTTAGGGGCAGTAGATTCTAGGGAGCATTGGCAAGGACACAGGCCTTTGTGTGCCCAGGCACTGCCTCCTGACCTCCCCGGACCTCATCCAGCTGGAGAAGTGGTTCTCACTTCAGGCTTCTCTCCCTCCAGGTGGCTGCGGAAGCAGTTCTACTCAGTGGATCGGAATCGTGAGGATCGGTAGGTATTGGGCTGTGGCTCTAGTCCAGCCGGTGGGTTGGGGCAGCCAGAACAGTAGCCATGCCCCGAGCAGCTGCCTGGAGAACCAGAGGACCCAGGGGGCCTGCCTCTAGTAGGGCTGGGGGCCAGGCAAGTGGAACTTCCTGCAGAAAGCCCTCTGAGGGCCTTGGTGCAGACTGGCTCTGGGTGTCCTGCAGAGAGGGTGAGAGTGGCCTTAGTGTGTGAGGGGGTGCCTGGAAGCGCACAGCTTTGAGGCCCACCATATGACAGCCAGAGGGGCCAGGGAGAGATGGGGGACAAAGATCAGTTCATGGTGAGGCCTTCTGACTGTTGCCGTGAAAGAGCTAGAAAACCACGGAGGGTTTTGAAAGGAAGTATCCCGTGACCCGACTTCAGTTGCACAGGACCGCCGGCTCCTGCTGGAGAGTCCAGGGCGGGGCAGAGCCAGCGAGCTTGGGCAGGGAGCTGCTTCAGCATTCTGGGTGGAAGATGAGAGGGTTTGGCTCAGGGTGCAGGGTGGTAGCAAGTGGTCGGATTTGGACTCTACTGTATCTTGAAGGTAAGAGTCCAGTGGAATTTCCTAACATTGATTTTGGTGTGCAAGAGAAAGAGAGGAGTCCAGGGTGACAGTAAGCTTTTTGGCTGAAGCATCTGGAAAGGTGGAGTTGCCATTGACTAAGATGGGGAAGGCCATGGAAAAAACACATTTGGGAGAGTTTAGGGGTACATTTAGGCCATGTTCAGTTTTATGATGCCCTTAGACGTCCAGGTGGAGACATTGCATTGGCAGGTGGGTAGAATGAGTTTAAGGGAGAAGTTGGGGTAGGAGATATTAGCTCGGGAGCATAGAGATGTTCCTTCCATAAGCCATGAGGCTGGAGATCACCTGATAAGTGTAGCGAGGAAAGGGAAGAGGGCCGGCGGCTAACCCCAGGCTACTTGGACATTGGGGGGGGGATCAGGGAGGTGAGGAGGAGCTAGCCAGGGGAAGTAGCAGCTTGTGAGGTAAGAGAAAAACCTGGAGGGTGGAGTTTTGGAAGTTCGGGGAGGAGGGAGTGGTCAGCTGTGCCAGGCCTCGTCAAGTGTGTTGAAGACAGGTGCCCCTTGGACTTGACAGCACAGAGGTTGTTGGTGACCTTGAGGAGTGGGGAAGGGGGTTCAGGGAAGGAAAGGGAGCATGGATGGCTCCTTAAAGGTGCTGCTGTGAGGGAGAGCAGAGAAGGGAGCGGTCACTGGAGATGTCAGCAGGGTCAAGACAGGTGTTTTGGTGGGACGGATAATAGCTTGCTTGTAATGCTGATGGCAGAGAGTCAAGAGAGAGTTTGTTGATGCAGCAAGTTTCCCAGCCTGCAAAGCAAGGACCCTGACCACCTTCCTCCTGGGCGCCTGGGGGTCAGATCAGCTGGCACGTGCCAGTAGCAGCCAGGACCACCCAGTACAGGACTGAATCCTGCAAGGGAGTTTTGGTGCTGCCTGCCAGACTCTTAGGAAGGAGGAGGAGGACGCCCACCCTCCCCTCCGACACCAGCCTCCAGGAGAGAAGGCCTCCCTTTCCCCCATCTTTGCCGTCTTTTGCCAGGCTCAGCAGTGTCCCCTAGTCCCACATCCTGGGCAGGGCACCCCTGGAGGGCAGGGACACTTCCCTGTCAGACCCCAGGAGAGTGTCCAGTCACCAGCAGTGGTATTTTGCTGAGCAGGACCCCCTCTGGCCACCCCCTCACCCCCCACCCTGTGCCGGGTGCTGAGACACACACTCCTGGCATTCCAGGGTCACTGGTCAGGAATCCCTGCCGAACTCCCCCCGGGGAGTATGTGAGTGAGCTGTGTGAGGCCTGGAGGCTCAGCAGGGGAAGGGTGCCTCCTGTGTCTGGGTGAGCCAGCAGCCCATAGGATTGCTAGGGGGCCAGAGAGAGGTACAGGCTCGAGTGTTGAGACCTATAGGTTGGCTCCCCTCCCCCATGCCTGACCCACTTCACTGAGCCTGTTCACTCCTTTCTCACTAGAATCACGGCCTTTGTCTTTGCTTAGATGAGGAAACTGAGCCCTAGAGAAAGGAGGGGACTTCCCTTGGTCACCCCAAGGGTTCTGATTTAGCCTCACCTCAGGACTCTAGGCGCCAGGGTAGTGTTTACCTGTCCAGCCCCAGGTGGGCTCAGCCCACAAGTCAGAGGTCATGAGAGAGGTTGGGTGAGGCCACTGGGGATGTCCCTGTTTCCTCAGTATATCAGCCAAGGACCTGAAGAACATGCTGTCCCAGGTCAACTACCGGGTCCCCAACATGCGCTTCCTCCGAGAGCGTCTGACGGTAAGCGCCTCCTGGGCCACCTGCAGGCAGTGGGCGCAGCCCGGGAGCCGCTGGCCGCGGACCTAACCGGAGTCCCACCCTGTGCCGTGTAGGACCTGGAGCAGCGCAGCAGTGACATCACCTACGGGCAGTTTGCTCAGCTGTACCGCAGCCTCATGTACAGCGCCCAGAAGACGGTGCATGAGCCACCTGCCCTCCCACGGCCCCTGCCCCTGCTCTCCCACCCCAGCCCCGGCCCTGCTTGCCTCAGCCCCGCTGTCCCACTTGAGGGCTTTCGGGTGCCATTTCTCCAGCTTTTCTCCTCTGGAGGCCTACCCCTCTCTGTTGCCCCAGCCTTTCTTCCTGAAAGCCCTTTTCCCATGTGGCCTCCCAGGGGCTCTCGCTCTGACCAGCTTCTGTCTCCTGCAGATGGACCTCCCCTTCTTAGAAGCCAGTGCCCTGAGGTTTGGTTTGAAGTGGGGCGGTGGGGTTCTCCCCTGGTGACTCCTGGTACAGGTGGGAGGCCGTGGGAGGGAGTGAGCCATACTGGACCCTTTTGGGCAACTGTGCTGGCTGGGAACTGGGCTCTGCCTTCCAAGGGGCCTCTCGTTGTCTGTGGGCTGTACCAGCCACCTGGCTGCCAGGCGCTCCCCTTCTTTCCCACAGGGCAGGGGAGCGGCCGGAGCTCTGTCGTGTGTCCCTTCCTGAGTTCCAACAGTTTCTCCTCGAGTACCAGGGGGTACGGCTGGGTTGGACTGGGCCAGGGTGCCTGGCTGAGGGGGGCTGGGCTCGTCACTGGCGGCCTCTCATGTGCACCTCCCCAACCCACCCCCACCAGGAGCTGTGGGCTGTTGACCGGCTTCAGGTGCAGGAGTTCATGCTCAGCTTCCTTCAAGACCCCTTGCGAGAAATTGAAGAACCATACTTCTTCCTGGACGAGGTAAGCCCTACCTTTCACACCCCTCCATCAGAATGAGGGGTGCTGACCAGAACCCTACCTGGGTCCCAGGAGCCAGATTCTCCTTAGGGCTGCCACCTTGTTCCTCCCCACTGTCCACCTTGCCCACCGTGATAGACACTGAGCGTCCTTCCTTCCCACCACAGCCATGCCAGTGGGCTGGGGTAGTGGCTCACTCTGTCCTTTCCTTCCTGTTCCTGGACAGTTTGTTACCTTTCTGTTCTCCAAAGAGAACAGTATGTGGAACTCGCAGCTGGATGCAGTGTGCCCGGACACCATGAACAACCCTCTCTCCCACTACTGGATCTCTTCCTCCCACAACACGTGAGTGGCTCCCTCAGCCCCACCTGGCCCACCCTTAGGAGGGAGGCAGTCACCCAACCACCCCTGCCTCTCCTTCCCTGTCCAGGTACCTGACCGGGGACCAATTCTCCAGCGAGTCCTCCCTAGAAGCCTACGCTCGCTGTCTGCGAATGGGCTGTCGCTGCATTGAGTGTGCGTGGGGGCCGGGGCTGGGGGAGTAGGTTGGGGGGGGGGCCACCCACCCTCTTGACTGTGGTCATGTTCCTCCCCAGTGGACTGCTGGGATGGCCCAGATGGGATGCCAGTCATTTACCATGGACACACCCTTACCACCAAGATCAAGTTCTCCGATGTTCTGCACACCATCAAGGAGCATGCCTTCGTGGCCTCAGAGTGAGTCGGCGGGGGGGAGGAGGAGGGCAAGGGTCAGCTTGGCTCCAGCTCTCTCCTGTGACAGAGGGTCCCCTCCAATGTCCCGTCCCCACTCCCCCTGTTTTTTATCTTTGTCCTTCTTGGCCTCCCCTCCTTTCTTGCTGCTTGCTTGAGCCATTCTTCCTAAGCTACTCCCTGTTTCCTGCACCCTCAGCCCCCCTCTTCGTGGGTTCTTCGCTAGCCTGTGGAACAAACTAAAGCTCTACCCATCCTCAAAAAATACTTCCTTTCAGAAGCCAGGGCTAGCATCTTCTCTGGCTAGCTCCCCTCTAGACAGGGCCCTGAGGCCCTTGGTTCCTAACACCTTTTCTGAGGGGCTGTTTGGACTGAGTGAGTGTTGACCCCTCAGAATTGTTAGGTCTCTGTCACTGCACTTGTCCCTTACCCTGCAGGTACCCGGTCATCCTGTCCATCGAGGACCACTGCAGCATTGCCCAGCAGAGAAACATGGCACAGTACTTCAAGAAGGTGCTTGGGGACACACTCCTTACCAAGCCCGTGGACATTGCCGCGGACGGGCTCCCCTCACCCAACCAGCTCAAGAGGAAGATCCTCATCAAGGTAACAGTGCGGGCTCCACACTTCCCAGCACCTCTCCCAGGCCATGGCTCTAGCTGGTGGTCTCAGCCTGGGTGAGGAGGTGGGGGCTCTGGGACTGAGCTGGCACTGCTATGTCCTGCCTGCCCCCCTAGCACAAGAAGCTGGCAGAGGGCAGTGCCTACGAAGAGGTGCCTACATCAGTGATGTACTCTGAGAACGACATCAGCAACTCCATCAAGAATGGCATCCTCTACCTGGAAGACCCCGTGAACCACGTGAGGGCCGGGCCAGGTTGAGCATGGGGGGCCCGGTGGGAGGAGGCCTCCATTCATGGGCCCCACTTCGGTCTCTCCCAGGAGTGGTACCCCCACTACTTCGTTCTGACCAGCACCAAGATCTACTACTCTGAAGAGACCAGCAGTGACCAGGGCAATGAGGATGAGGAGGAGCCCAAGGAGGTGAGGGGCCCACCCAGGGCTGGGGGTCGGGCTGGGGTCAGAGTCACCGAGCGTTTTTGCTGTTGCCTTGCCCCCCCACAGGCCAGTGGCAGCACGGAGCTGCACTCCAGTGAGAAGTGGTTCCATGGGAAGCTCGGGGCGGGACGGGATGGACGGCACATCGCCGAGCGCCTGCTCACCGAGTATTGCATCGAGACCGGGGCCCCTGACGGCTCCTTCCTCGTGCGGGAGAGCGAGACCTTCGTGGGCGACTACACGCTCTCTTTCTGGTAACCCGCTCCCAGTACATGTGCTGCACTCCAACGTGCCCCCCGCCACCCCGAGACCACCACAGTCTGTAGTTGGTCTCGGTTACAGGCTCTCACACAGAGCACGATCTTGTCACACGCACGCACACACGCGTACCTTTCTGGGTGCTTTGAAGCCCTCCTGCGGGTCTGCCCGGCACCCGAGCTCCTCAGGTGCCTCGCTTGGGCTGGAGAGCAGCGTTCTGGGCCACGCCTGCTTCTCACCACCTCCCCATCTGCCCGCAGGAGGAATGGGAAAGTCCAGCACTGCCGGATCCACTCCCGGCAGGACGCTGGGGCCCCCAAGTTCTTCTTGACAGACAACTTGGTCTTTGACTCGCTCTATGACCTCATCACGCACTACCAGCAGGTGCCCCTGCGCTGCAACGAATTTGAGATGCGCCTCTCAGAGCCTGTCCCGCAGACCAATGCCCATGAGAGCAAAGAGTGAGGGAGGGGCCAGGGGCCGGGCGGGGGGGCGTGCCCTGAGTGGGGAAGGCCAGGGCTTGACTCCGGTCTGTCCTCAGGTGGTACCACGCTAGCCTGACCAGAGCTCAGGCCGAGCACATGCTGATGCGTGTCCCCCGGGACGGGGCCTTCCTGGTGAGAAAACGGAATGAGCCCAACTCCTACGCCATCTCCTTCCGGTGAGGGGTGTGGCCTCGGGGTGCTCTAGGTGGTATGGGACTACTCCTGGGTCTGGGCTGCCCTGACCCCGTGTGACTCTTCTGTTAAGGGCCGAGGGCAAGATCAAGCATTGCCGTGTCCAGCAGGAGGGCCAGACGGTGATGCTGGGCAACTCGGAGTTTGACAGCCTCGTGGACCTCATCAGCTACTATGAGAAGCATCCGCTGTACCGCAAAATGAAGCTGCGCTATCCCATCAACGAGGAGGCGCTGGAGAAGATTGGCACCGCTGTGAGGGCCCAGTGGTTGAGGGGCGTGGCAGGCAGTGACCCTGGGCTAGCTGCTGGGCAGTCGTGGGACAGTCTGTCTGTGTGAGACACAGAAGCCAGGGATATTGTAGGAGCTCCTGGACGGGTCACTGCCCAGCTGGGAGCCATGGCGTAGGTGCCAGGACAGTGTCCTGGAGGGAATGTCATCTACGAGGGTGTGTCTGTAAGGATGGGCATGTGTTAGGTGAAGAGGTTAGGGGCTGTGAGCTGGGCTGAGGGGTGAGGAGGTCCTGGAGCTCACACAGGGAGTGGTAGGCCCAAGGCCAGAGGCTTACCTGGCTGGGCGTGGACTAGACTGTCACCGGGGCAGAGAAGAGAGTTGGCTACAGAAGTGTGGCTGTGGTGGGAGGAGGCACAGGGGTAAGACAAGTGAAGTTAGAAGCCTATGGAAAGGGCTCGGGACTGGAACTGTGGCCTTGGACAAAAGGAAGGCATCTAGGACGGGAGGTCCACTTGAGACTTGTCATCGGCGGGCATGGGTGTCCAGGGAAAGGACCTCACACACTGGGGCCCGGGGCTGGGCTGGTGGATTGGCGTGTGTGGGGCAGGGGCACCCAGGGGGAGGGAGGGAGCCACTGGGCTAGAAAGTTGAGTGCATGGCCCCTGCGGGACTCCACTGCAGACAGCTCAGCAGCAGTGTGGGCCTTCAGGAACAGAGAACTTTCAAAATGATGGGGTAGGTGTCCAGGGTAAGAATGTGGAGAGAGGGGAGGGCCAGGCCATGCCCACTGAGGTCTGAGATGCTGGTGGACCCGATGTCCGGGAAGGGGCAGACATGGCCTGGTGAGGCAGGACACATGGGCCTGCCACACTGATCGAGGGGCCCAGGGAAGCCAGTGGCCACTGTCGTCTGGGTGTTAACGTATCCCGTTCCATCCTGTTTCTAGGAGCCTGACTATGGAGCCCTGTATGAGGGACGCAACCCTGGCTTCTACGTGGAGGCAAATCCTATGCCTACTTTCAAGGTACAGCGTCAGGCCTCTGGGCACAGGAAGCAGTGGGGGGTGGGGGGGTCCCCAGCTGCTCAGGGCTTACATTGCTCTGCTCAGGGGCCCATCTGTGGTTGTTGTGGAGAAGTGGTGCTTGTGGTTTTCCGAGGCCTGAGAGGTTGTGAGAGATGTGTGGTTTGTGTACGACCACAGCTCTCCCTGGGCTGACCCCCTCCCAGACCTTGCCCCTGGGGGGTCCGCACTGACCCTTCCAGATTGCTCCCCAGGGTAACTCCCCGTTTCCTCCCTGGGTGGCAGCAGGGCAGGGGCAGGCCACACTGGCCAGAAAATTTTGTACTTTTGCTACTGAGTCCCTTACCTTGTGAAGATCTGTCAGAGAGGATCTTCCTCTTTTTGCCTCTTTCTCTAGGGGGTAAAGGAGTTGTGCCCTCTCCCTCAGCAGCCAGGGAGCCTGAGAAGGTTCTTTTCTCCCAGGCTGGGGGAGCCTGGTAGGCCTGGCCTCCAGGAGTCTCCATGGCAGAGGCCCTGGGTCTGTCCTCAGTCGCATCTGTCCTGGAGTTTCCTGTAGGGCCCGTGGTGAGGACTGGAGCTGGGCAGGTTGCCGCGGGTCAGGAGAGGTGAGGAGGGGCTGCCTACTCTAACCGGCGCTCTCCCCCTTGCAGTGTGCGGTCAAAGCCCTCTTTGACTACAAGGCGCAGAGGGAGGACGAGCTGACGTTCACGAAGAGCGCCATCATCCAGAATGTGGAGAAGCAAGACGGCGGCTGGTAAGCCTGGTCCCCGGAGCCAGAGCCCGTGGGGGGTGTGGCAGGCCGGGAGGTGGGGGCCCCACACGGGCACCGGCGGTGCTGGCCGCAGCCTGGCTTCCGTGTGGGGCCTTGACGAGGGCTCCCCTCCTTGTGGGAGTTTGGGGTGGTTGCCGGGGTAAGCACCATGTGGCTTCCACAGGTGGCGGGGGGACTATGGGGGGAAGAAGCAGCTGTGGTTCCCGTCCAACTACGTGGAGGAGATGGTCAGCCCTGCAGCCCTGGAGCCTGAGAGGGAGGTGAGCGCAGAGCCACAGCGGTGGGACACGCCAGTCACACACGGTGACGCACAGCCTCCAGCACCTGCGGTCCACACACACCCGTGTGTGTGCGTTGTCATGTGTGCGCTTGTGCGGGGCGTCTGTCGCATGCACACAGACCTCCCCCCACGCGTGTGTACAGCGGACGTGCTGACGAGCCCTTGGGCTTTGCCTTCCACAGCACTTGGACGAGAACAGCCCCCTGGGGGACTTGCTCCGGGGGGTCTTGGATGTGCCGGCTTGTCAGATCGGTGAGCCCCCATCCCGTTTTCCAGCCCACCGTTGCTTAGGGTCAGGCTGTCCTTGGTGGCTCTCGGCACGTGCCGAGGGAAGAAGCCAGAGGCTGCCCCCACCCCGAGCTCTCCCAGTGCTTGGATCCCCCCGCTTGACACCCTGGGCTCCTTGTTCACCTCCAGCTTTGAGCCCTGCCTGCTCACCCGGAGCCAGGCACTGTGGGAGACGCGGATGGCTCGCTGACCTCCGCAGTCCTCATAGGCGGGGTCCCGGGGTGGGGCGGGGCAGGGGACCCAGGGGAGACAGACCGGTTTGGAGCCCCGGCCCACCTCTTCCCGGCAGCCCTTGCGTCCTCTGCTGTCACATGGGCCAGGCTGAGCAGCCCTGTCCCCCAGTGATGTGTGGGGAGGACAGGTGGTGAGGGGACACCGAGCCAGTCCCTGGGCTGTGGCGTGGGGGATGCAGAAACGACTTGCCAGCTCTGTCCTCTCGCACTCGCAGCCATCCGTCCCGAGGGCAAGAACAGCCGGCTCTTCGTCTTCTCCATCAGCATGGCTTCGGTGGCACACTGGTCCCTGGACGTCGCTGCTGACTCCCAGGAGGAGCTGCAGGACTGGGTGAAGAAGATCCGAGAGGTGGCCCAGACGGCAGACGCCAGGGTGAGGGGAGCGGGGGGGCGCAGGGGCAGCCTGTGAGCCTGTTGGGGGCGAGGCCTGTGGCACCAGGCCCCCCCAGGAGCCGGGAGCCAGCCCCGTGGGTCTGCCTGGCGGGCACTTGGAAACACAAGCGCAGAGGCCAGAGAAGTCCTGGGCTGGAAGCAGGGGGGACTGGTGGTGTGGAGCGGGAGGAGGGCTTCGCTTTGAAGGTGTGGGTGACAGGAGGAGCCGGGAAGGGCAGGCCAGAGAAGCTAGAAGCAGCCGGGGCGGGGGATGGAGTCTGTGTTGAGGGCTGTGGAGGTACCAACAGGCACGATAAGAACCTGAAAGTGCCCACTGGCTTTGGCAGCAGCGAACAGCCCTAGTGCCACTACCAGGAACCATGGCAGGGTGGTGGCCGGGG